AGTATTCACCTAGAAGTTGTTTGGAATGGTCAATGCCTAAACTTCAACAACTTCTGTGCTGCAAGATTTGAAAGAGACACTATGCCAGAGACCATAAAAGCTTTGCTCCAAACAAACATTCGAAAACTAAGTCGTTCTCGTCAGTGAAGGCTTAAGAGACATTGTACACCCGAAATGATTTGTCGAAACGTACTATAAACATGTCAAAAGGAAGGCAGTGTACAGCAGTGTTGAGAAAGAACCGATGGCGCAATTTCATGTCTGCACTCACCTATGTTCTTCCCTATTTAATTCGTATATTTGTGACCTATCACCTATATCATTTATTTAAACAACTCATCACATGATAACATAGCGATCTCCACTTGTGTGAATTATCCTTGAATTCCGGAAACTTTTTCTCGTCACAATGTTTGATGCCTGTATTTCGGTCATGACTGATAATTCTAACTTCCCATGCAACCAGTACCTCGTCTGCGCTTTTGGCATGTCATTATATTCTTGTAAAATGAACTGGCTATTCAGTCAAATTGTCTACATTATGTTACACAGATTGTTTATGCATTTTGTGACTTAGCTTGGATGTGTTAGATGGGAGATAAAGTAACTTCATCTTATCCTGAGAGTGGGTCAATTTCGCTCAATTCAACTTTTTCGACAACTGAAGTGGGATGAAATTTTATAAACATCTGTTATGAAATCAGCCATACTTTGTAGTGCTTAAATTACAAATAATTATCTACTTCCTTATAATCAGATTAAGTAAACTTATTGGTAGCTATATAGTGCTTCGGTGGTATAGCGACTAGGACGCTTGCCGACCATGTACATGGTCCGGGGTTCGATTCCCGGCCGACGCACTCCTTTTCCTCGCTAAGCCAGAAATAATGCTGGTGAAGAGGAAAGGTTTGGCATAAGGTTGGCAACCCCCTCTGCTACAGAAATTTCAAGCCACTAGCTTGAAGCCCTATGTTTCACTGGGGAACGTGAAGGAATAAAAAATTGATAGTTATATAGAAATGTTTGGACTTTGAGTAGTTAAAGTCATAGCTCAAAATTTTTGTGATGCTTGTGACATAGATGAATATGCAAACAGTTCTAAGAACTGACAGAAGTGTAGAAGACTCAAATTAGAGGACTGAGAAAAAAACTGTTTATACTGTATAACAGAATGAAGTGCATATGAAATAGGAACAACTATACTGTGACTCATGGACGAAATTCACACTGAACATATTCACAAATACCGCCGCGCAACAGGGCGAGGAAATCAAATTGTAGATCTAAAGGTTATTTTTCTAAAGTTACCTGGCACTGGAATGAATGATGACACATGTTTCGCCTTGTTCTCACTCGTCCTCTGGACACACCCAAACTCCAACAATTCATGGTCTTTGCACCTGTTTTTTCGAAATCACGCTATATTATGCAGTAAGCCAAAAAATAAGTTAAAATTGAGTAACGCAACTAACTTTACGTTTCCAGAATTTCGGTTATAGCGCGAAATACAATCGTTATAGGAGAAGATGATGGTATATGTTAACAGTCAACACACAACACGCTATAGAGATGTGATAAGGGAATTATATGACTGATAGAGTTATCCCGAATTTGTTTTTCAGAGAATACAAATTACACTAAAATCAATGAAACAAGGGGAGTGGATGTTTGAAGAAGATAAATTCGGTACTTGATGTAAGCCTTATCCGGTGAATATCTGATTCAGGAATGCAAATAGATGAAGAATAAATGGAAATGTACAAAAATGAACCTACTAATATTGAGAACAGTGAATTATTTATTAAAATTAGAAATTAACAAATCTGAAGGAATGTAGATTTATGGTAGAACGGAAAATTAGATATGCGTTTCCTGTACATACAATGTGGGCCTACATTAACGAATTGGTAATGTCTAAGCCAAAAAGCACTTGAACTTTCTGAACTTCCTTCTAAATATATTGTGCATAAAGTTTTGTGATTCAGTATTATTTTCTTGGAACTTTACTTATGTATTCCACCAAAACCCGATGAATCGAGTCGTATTTGCATTTCATCTAGGTATACAAATCAGTTACTGTGAGTATTTGATGTCAACTCTCAATGAACATGTTCAATACTACTGAACAGAACAAAAGTATAAGTGAATGATGAAGTCGCTGTTTTATGACCACAATATTCAGTTATCGGTGACACAGCGTTTAGGACTCTCACCAACCATTCTTATGGTACAGGGTTCAATCCCCTGCCGACGCACACCTAATATCAATGGTCAGCCTGCAAAATTGGGCTACCCATATCACATGCTAAAAATTCCATACTTGTACCAAAAATACGGTGTGGAATCAAGCTATAATCCGAAAAAGCAATCTTGAAGTGGATTGCAAAAGATTCGATTACTTCAAATTGTGCCCAGAAAACTGTATCTTCTTATGTATGTATCCTCAGGCTTTACATTTTAGAGCTTGTAAACTAACTTAGTTTGCTGATAGTGAGGTCAAAAGCCTTAATCGCATAAACCATAGTTACCTACTAATATACTGCTTTTTTTTCAAATTGACAAAATGTTGATTGAACGTTTTTCTAATTGAACAAATAAATCTGGAAGTGAAAGAATTTTTCGCCTTAAAAGTAGGTCATTTATATACCACGAAATTGGTAATTGGAATAGACCAACGTCTAAATCACAAACATATTTGTTTTCACTTTGATGACCGTTTTTGTCTATGAATACTTGTGTGGGAACAATGCATATTTAGCATTAGATGAATCCCAATGAATGGACTAATTGTGTTCTTAGATAATTTATCACAGAACGCCAAACGACCTAAAACATTAGAAAATATGAAATATGATCCCAATTATTTCAAAGTAGTGAATAATTGTTCGATTTAGTGCCTCAAAATTCAGTTATTCTGCAATGATAGAATAACGGGGCACTAACGGTTATATTTTCTTAACGCAAAAAGAAGCCTTCCAAGTATGAAGGTTCATTGTACAGCAGTAACATAACTCTTTATTTTATAATTTGATGAAAGGAAATTTGAGTATAACACTTAAGTTATTTTTAGCCTCATAAAATTTAATGGATACATTTAAAACGTCCTTCTTTGTATACATACCGATGCCGTTTGCCAATGAAAGTCATGTCTCTCCAAATTTACAAGTGGATCTATTGTTCATCAAGGTCACTTAATACATATATTCGAACAGCGATGTAAACTGTCTTGACTGTTAATTGATTGATGGTGACTAACAGTGGAATACAGAGTGCGTATTTTCTCCTATTTGGGACTCCTAATCCGAATACACCAGCCTTCCAAAGTTACTGATGGTGGTCCCACTCCCACTGAGTCTCGAATCCAGTATCCATAGTTTCAAGTGTCAAATTGGTTAAATAATTACTGAAACCCATCGCACAAGAGGTGGCTCTAGCAGCCTAATTGGTCTAGTAGATCACGTTTTCGAGTTTGAAGCTATGGGAACACCATCACTTACTGGGGAATGGAGATACATCCAGATAACTAGTCCAAAATGAGACGGAATTAACATCCTGGATTCCACTGCTAGTCACCGTCCACAGATTTACTTCAAGCTACGTGGTCAGACATCATCGAAGTATCTGCCTAAGGAGTCGACATGCCAACCTGAGGCCAGTCAATCAGCAGGGAATTTCAAATTGAATTAATTGTTTTGACTGCTGTTTGAGACAGTAGAAGCTCCTTGTAGGCAACCTCTTCGTGATTTCGCGTGCAGTTATTATTGCTTTTGTGGCGGTGGAAATTGTGCTTAGCGATTAGAGCAGTTTTCTTAGTAGTCTAGTAAGTCGCATAAGCAAAAAAAGATTAGCAGTGGATGATGAACACTATTCATTTCGCTTTTATATGAGTAAAGTTTACACTGTTAATAATATACATTGTTTAAACCTGCTACCAGATACTTTTGTTAGTCTAACGGATCGACTTTTATACAACTCTTTTGTCAAGTAAATCTAGATGATTATAGTTTTCATTGAGTGAGACAGAGAGTAGTGGACATATCTCACACAATGAAACGTTATAATTGAGAGGATTTTCCTTAGGCATTTTTATAGATGGAATTCCCAACTGCTTCACATTTTTATGTAGTTTAAACTATTTATATGATGGGAAGAGAACAGGATACCATATCACGTCGTTTTTCAGTTTTTCTTTCGATAGGTGAAGACTTCATTTCTACTCTTTCTTTGACATCTTTTCAATACTAACCACTCAGCTAGATGTCGTTTTATTGTAGTCATTATCCTTACTCCTTCTAAACATTTCTCGGCTACAAACTACGCCGAACCACTATTATAGTTTTCGAAACGCAGTAGACTCTCTTGCATATTTCACCTGATATTAGAGCATGCATACTCTTGATTTCAACAAACCGAAACTGCCAGTCACCCACTTCCACAATATTTTTCGTTTAAGTGATACGTTTAAATCATAAATATTAGACGTTTGTTTAACTATAGATGAATACTATTAGACAAACACCTTTCTGGTTCACACGTATTCGTTGTGACGTGAAATATTGAAGATGGTCAAAATAAATTAGGAAATCTTCTGACTAATTAATCATGAACATTGCATTTTAAAAATTCAGATGTTGTGACAGTATTCAAACTATCAGCCACCTTTTAAATTTTTGTTCCTTTAGCCTTATCCACTCTGCAGTATTAACAGTGATTTCGATGAACTCGCATCAGCAGCATAAGCGACATGAATCAAGAAGGCGAGTCGACTCATCAAACCAAAGAAATTTAGGAATTAGAAAAGCTTTTCTTAAAAAATGAAGTGCATATCTGTGTATTTCTTCTTGCGAACTGTAAACACTTAACATGTTTGGTGGAATGCAGTATATTGTATAAATTTAAAACTATTTTTGCTACAACAGCATCGTATAAAACTACCTGAGAAAATTTGTTTGCTTGTTGTGAGACACACAATACATCACGGGATTAATTAAAACAGAAAATGATTATGACAATATTTTACATATTTTTTTTCTGTACAAATATACTATTTTGCATCATAACAATTTTTACATGTATATTTATATGTTAAAGATTCAGAAATGGACAAAATAACTGTAGAAATGTATATCTAAATTGTCGGGACATTACACAGTACAAGATGAAATTCAAGCCGTTGTTAACCAATGTTAAAAAGTCCAGAAATTCACCCAGCGCGTCGTATACATTTCTACGGAAGCAGTCACCTTGGAAATTGTTCAGTAACAGTAAAGCAGACTATGAAAAGAATAGAAAATAAAAAATTAAAGATTTTTTTGATTACTATACAGTGTTGTATAATCTATTTGAATTAATTATTAGTGAATACTGAAAACTTAGTTATATATTCTCATAAATGGAAAACACTTTTACCCAACTTCTACTTTTATCAGTGGATTTATAATGTGTAATATTGGAGTGCATTCCTCAGCTTGAACTCAGCTACCGGGAACAGACGGTTTATGTATCAAGGTAAGAACCATATATTATGTGAAGGCTGATGATAATATCCAGTTACATAGACTGATGTATGTGAGCCACGGGCTCCAGGACCTATCTCTGACCAACGGGCAACATGTTTTAATTAGCAAAAATCACAAGCGAGCGAATCGGCAATAAGAACGTATGAAATTGCAAATTAATAATTTTTTTAAATTTTCGATAAAAGCTTGATGCCAAACCGTATTTTCAGTACAAGTATGACATATTCAGCATGGATATCGGTAGCCCAAATTTTGCAGGCCGACCATAGATATCGGGTGTGTGTCGGCAGAGGATCGAACCCCGGACCATGTGCATGGTCGGCGAGAGTCCTAACCACTGTGCCACCGACGCACGGAAAGAAGAGCAAGAAAACGAAGCATAATGTGGTCACTAATATAGCGCGACAGTGTAGTCAGTATGAGTTGCCATTAAAATACTGTTACATTTCATCAATGCTGTGTGTAATCTGCACGGTGAACAATGAATCACTGGGTGCACTGCATTATTCTTCACATAATGAACAAAGAAATCAAGGAACAGATAAAATATTTACGACACAACAGTTCAAATGTTATAAGCGACACTTTATCCACAGTTCCATTTATGCTTATTGCTATGAGTGTCCGTGATAAGGAACTTTTCAAAACTGATAACTCAGTAGTTAATCATGTTAGTTCTCTTACAGTGAATGAAAATTTAATTTTAAGGTGATTATTCCTTCGGTTGTAATACTGTAGGTCAGATCGAAACGAGGAGCATCTCCTTGAATAAATAAAAGAAAAGTGCATAAATTATTAAAACGAATAATATCTGTTTTATTATGTTTTCATTGAAACATCCCCTGACATTGTTGCGCGTTATAATTTAGGTAAATTACGAAAATATTTCATCTGTAGAGTAACATAACACTATGGAATAATTATATGATCGGCTTATCAGTATTTGATTGGTTCCAAAGCAAGTTTCATTGCAAACTGACACCACATCGACATATTTCTGTAAAGTCATCAGAAGTTCGATAGCCGTGGATGGTCTTAAAGTAAAAAATATTACCTACACACTAGTGCAACAATGTGCTTTATTGATGCACACTACAGTGGTCAAATAATACTGAAATTTCTCGTTATCAACCTGATGCACAGTAAAGCTTACATGCAGGTAGTTTGTTTCAAGTGTGTTAAAATCAGCTGTATTTAGTACAGTAAGTAGGTTAGTAAATTGTTTATTTTTAAATACTGCGTACAACCTAGAACTTTCAAATAATAACATGTGATTGTAAAAAATGAAAAATAAATTTGTCGACTCTAACTTCTTTAAATGTTGAGTGTGTGTGTGAGACAGAGATTATTGATTATCAAATTAGTAAGCATAATTCACTCCCCTCTTTTTATGGTTAGGGAGTTTTAGTACTTACATGAAAATGCTATTTATGTGAATTTAAAGCAATAGGGAGTGGGGTTGACATTTTTAATCATATGAGAAAAATATATATAAATTACTGAAAAAATCTCAAAACGTGTAAAAATCACATAATAAACTGATTATTTTTGTTTACTTTAGGCAGTGTAAATATCTTAATTCAGATGTCATAAAGAACAGCATCGTTGCTATATGAATCAAGTTCTTCTTAATGTGGAAAAATGAGTATATGAATATATTTTCGTATACCGAAAGGAAGTGTGAATTATTCCACGGTTGCGATATGACTAGTGAAATCGTCTTATTTTTCCAAAACAAACCGACTACTTTAGATACTGCATTGCTAATTAATAATCCACAAGGTTATTCTGCACACAGATGTGTGAAAACCGTGATAATTTAAAATTTAAAAAATTATTCAAAAGATTCAACACTTAGGAGCTTCATGTGAATCTTAGTTGCACTTATTACCAGAAAAGAAACAACCTAAGGTGAGGTGAAAATACCGCTTATTTTCGTATTGTGATTAAACATTGCATAAATATATTCAACCATCTGGCTGCTAAACTCAATAAAAGTTTTCAAGTATTGATTCTGTAGGGATTATGTTTGATTGGTTGGAGGATTCCATCATGAGCCGACATCAGTTAGAGAACCATTGAAAAATCTGCAAGGAGTACTGGACAGCTATTTCGTCCTGGTTTGAGACTCCTTATCGGTACGCACCCACCTTCTGGTTACATGGTCAGCGAGCTCGTAGACCATTAAGCCACTGGGACCCAATCCAGTCCTGGATTCGAATCCCAGTGGCTGCATACTGTAAAGAGTCCAAAACTAGGACGAAACAGCTGTCCAGTACTCCCTACAGGTTTTCCAATGGTTCTCTAACCGATGTCAGCTCATGATGAAATCCTCCAAACAATCAATAAAAACTGTTAACAGTTTCTTAAAAGCATGAAAAATATAAATTAGAATAAATTTTCAGCATTGTATCTTTTGACTGCCTCCTCAGACATAATCAAGACTTCTGGTATGAGTGGACAAACGAACAGTTAAGGCTTAGAATATTCTATAGCCCTTAAGATAAATTTATGACAAAAACACTTTTTATATTTAAATTATTTATTCTTGATGAGTTCACGAATAAAATTTCATTGTAAGTATTCCTTCGGATTATTTTTCAATCTAATGTAATGTAATATGTAATATATTTTTTGTCTGACGATAGGTATCTTGTTGACTTGGTATTTTCCTTTTATCTTCTAATCTCAGCTAAATGTAAGTAGACCAGTTATCGTGTCACTGTTGTCACAAATAATTGCAGCAGGTAAGTGGGAGTTATAAAATCTTTTTAAAATATTAGCTTAATAACATTTATTGTTTAAATGTACGTCGGCGTCCTAAATCAAAAATGCTTTGATCGCTTAGATACTGATTCTAGTGAAGAACAAGTCTATATATATATGTATATATGTATATAGGAAAATCTTAATTATTAACTTTATGCATACACTGTGATAGATTTAATCGGTGACAGTTAGATACATTTTAGATTGCAAATAAAATACAGACCAAGAAGTATGAACACACTGCATCTCCTGATGAGAACATTCAGTATGTTTCATATAAGCATATCAAAATACTGGCATTAAGACTCCAACTATATTTCATTAAAAATCCAACACTGCTAGCTCTATGGAGAAATCTTCAACTGGATGCCACATCATATTCATAGCACTAATTCAGTCTATGAAACGTCAAAGTTTAGAAGAAAAATCCTTTGTGAATATATTAACCTGTTCAGTCACAATATAATCTCCTCGACCTAGTAAATCATGGATGAGTAAATTGGAAGTTTAACCGAAAAGGTCACCAAAAATAATTCTTTTTGTATCTTCCATACTTTTTGAAAATAAGAATATTTCGTTACACCAGTTTTATTTTATTTTTTAAATTTTTGTGTGAGTTGTTTCCTTTCACCTTATTAACTTGATTGATCGATAGTTTTTATGAAATCTCAATTTGATTCAACTTATCACCCTACATTTACCTACATGAATTGTCTCTTCCATGCAGTGATGAAATACAAACATACATATAAACATAGTTCATTAAATCTTTACAACCATTAGTACTCTGTACACAGTAGTACGTCGTTGGCAAGGCGGTAGAATGCTCGCCGACCACGCATGTGGTCCGGAGTTCTATCCCTGGCAGACGCACGCCTTTACCTCGCTAAGCCAGTATTAAGACTGGTAAAGAGGGAAGGTTTGGCATGAGGCTAGCATCCGCATCCCGTAAAAATGAAGACCACTGTTATAGAAACTCCAAGCCTCTAGCTTGAGGCCCTTTGCTCCACCAGGAAGGTATAGGATTACATTCATTTTACACATTAGTAAAAATGTTTGGAGTAATTTTAAACACTTTAGACAGTGGTAGTTGTTGTCACAAACGGAAGCCAGAAAACCATTTTAAACTCGAAAGGCACTTGACATATCATCATATTAAAACCATATCATCACCTCGGTGAAGTCTCCCGTTTCACGCAACATTTTATTGAAAACAATCTTTAGTCTTTTGCTGAAAATACAATTAGATTACGGGTTACAAGCAAAAACACATATGTAAAAAGCCGTCAATTAATTATATGTCACATCTGCGTCACGCTTGAGTTTTGAACTGTCCTGCACTACTCCACTAATATCTGTTAGGTTTTGAAATTGCATTCATTATTCCTCATTTGTTGGTATTTGTGTGAATATATTTTGCGGTAATCACATTTTCTCACACCACTGAATATAACTCACTACCCTTCCTAATTAAACTTATATTCTGTTGACTATAAATACATTAGTATGTAACCCAGTTATCTATTCATATTGTATCTTATATTCTGAATGACTGTACATTTTATATAAATTCAGTCGACAGTTTTAACAGACTATCATTCCATCTTATATACGTGTACCCCAATACAATTTCTGATATAATTTTCATTTGTCTTTACTGGCTATTTGTATTCTGATATTCATGGATTCATAATTGTAGAGCATGAGCAAGAAGTTATTAAAAAATACTGTTTGTTTAAAATCATCTCATTCCGCTTATTTTGGTCTGGAAATAACAACTGAGGTAATTCTGACTATCATAGGCATAAGTCAGTTTAAAAGTTTAAAATAATCAAAAGTTTGGCTAATAATTAAGAACCGCAAGGTTGAATTTGTGTAGTGACATCGTTTGAATGCAGGTAATGTTTGCTTATAAAAGGTGTATAGGAGTCTGCACAAATGTAAAATCCTTTTTTTCAAAATCACATGGTCTCACCGCTAGATCTT